TCTCAGACAGGGAGGAGAGAGTCAATTTGGGTCCTGTAGTCTGAGCCAAGAGAGAATCTTAATCATCTGAGAGGAACCCAACCTGAGTAATTCCTTGACGTCATTCACTGAGTCTGCCCATCTCTCAGAGTGACCAGCTTGGGTCTGGGCCACCACACTTTGCTCATTTTCTGGCAGGCACAGACAACTCTAAAAAAAATACTCTCTAGAAGGGACTTCTGTGGGTTAAATGTTGGCATCTCTACTTCTCTGGGTTTCAGAGGAAGAAGCCTCCAGGAAGGTCATCTGTGATGGAGAGTGGTAATCAGCTGAGATCAAGTGCCCAGTAGATTGAGTTTAATTTGAGAGGCCTGCAAAGATTGTCTGCATCTTCCACCTTCAGTCAGCCCTCTTACTGGCTGAGCAAGAGAAAGCAGTGTAAAGACATACATTTCTGGTGTAACCTCTAGTTGGACAGGGAAAGTCATTGAGAAGGAAAGACCCCAAACTCAGGGCTTTGAGTAATTGGTTGCCTCTGTTGATGGACTTATAGCTTGGGCTAAAAATTGGAGTGTTGCAAGTCATTAAAAGAAGTAGATTCAAGATTTATTTCTATATGATATGCAGTTAGATGATTATCCCTTCTGAGTCCCAGAAAAGACTCGGGGATTTCCAAAACGAGCAGTAAACTCTCAGTCTCCTTCCTTACTTGTGGGCTTATACTCTATCCCAAACGCATCCCAGTGACCCATGCAGGAGAGTGGAGGACTCCTCTAGAGCAACAAAGAACCAAGGGAATAGATTTATGGCTATTTGTAGGATAGGGTCTCCCCAATAAAATGGCAAGTTTGCTTCCCATCTAATCACTCTATATTCAGGCCCATTGATGGACAACTCAGTCATCCCCATCTTCTGATTAGCACTATCCTCACTCTTAAATATAGATCAGCACCTGAGGAGAACTAGAAATGTGAAGATATCCTCTTATATGAAAAAAAACCACCAAATAACCTATATTTAACAGCTTCAGGGAGTGAGGAGACAATGTTGCACCCATTAAATAAAAAGGAGGACATCAAAAGTAACACAGATTTTTTTAAAAAGCTCTTGGAAATATGATCAATAGAATTAAAAAAATATTTTAACTTTGGAAAAAGCACACAGAAAGTTGAACCAGAAAAAACAAAAGAGGAAATTATCAAAGAAATAAAGCAAGAAAATTTCCTTGAAGTGAAAGACATGAATTTTTAGACTGGAAGTGTTCTCTCAGTACTCAGAACAATAAATAAAAATAGTCCACACCAAGGCACATCATTATATTTTAGAACATGGGTGAGAAGATTCTGAAAGAGAGAGAGAGAAAAAGGTGGGGGGGAGAGAAAGAGAGATTGATAGCCTATATTAAAAAAATAATTGAAAATGTATTTATCAACAGTCACTAGAAATAGAAGACAACAGAGAGTACTTCAAAAATTCTGAATGAAAACAATTTCCAACCTAGAATTCTATTTCCAGAATATCTATAATAAATATAATGGCGAATGTGCTCCCGAAAGGGACAAATAAACCAAGAATGAGGAACAAAGAGGATCTAGGAAAAGGAATAAATGATTGATGGCAGAAAAAATAAAACAAATGGAAAACAGAGGGAATTACTAACTAAAAATTAAAACAAAGATATAAGAAAATGTATTGAAAATATACTATGTGACTCAATTGGGAATAATATTTACATGGTCTTAATAATACAAACCCTGAATATTTGACAAATAGATGATTTTACTATATTGAGAGGATGTGAGTAGGATAGGAGCATATTTTATTTAGGTGATATACAAGAACCCTTGTTAAATACATTATTGTATTTAACAGGGCATCAGGAGGGCAGTTCTTTTTGCTTTGGGCATTGTGAGTTGCTAGCACCTAGAACAGTGCCTGGCACATAGTAGGTCCTCAATAAATATTTGTTGCACAAATGAAACTTTCCCCTGAGAAATATTTCTCCTAGGAACTTTGTAAAGAGAACAGATAGTAAGTTAAATGAAAATCAACTTCCAAAGCTATAGTACATGGAATCTGTTTCTAAAAGTTTTAGACTTTCAAAATTTAACAGGAATCACATTAAGTAGTTAAACTGAGCACAAAATATTTGAGATGACTAAAGAGCAAAAGATATTATTGGGAAGCTATTCTCTGTAAATCCTTATGCTTGTTAGTTTGATTGGGGATGCCTTGAAGCCCAGAACAGTTCCAGGGAAGTCAAAATGTAATTTTCTTGATTTAGAAAGGAAATTATTCTATTGATTTTTTTTCTTCCCTTCACTCAATAATATAATAGGAGGATGGGTTTAGGAAAACTGCCTGTTTTGCTTTTTTAAGTTGGCTGCGAGTTTACTGCTGACTCTGCACTGAACCCATGGACCTGTTCATTCTTTCATCCTCTTCCTCTCTCCCTTTCACCAAACATTTACTGTGTACCTACTATGCGCCAGACACTGTGCAAAGACACTAGTGCAATAAGAAGATTAGGTCAAATAATTTTGGATGTTCAGAGCTAAAATAGTCGGCCCCATCCGAGAACCAAGAATACACGGAAGCGTGAAACCAGGTATATTGTGTTAAGATCAGACTCCGGGGCTTGGGCGCACTCTTTCTTACCAGAGCGTCGGGATGCAAGTCTCAGTGGCCTTTATAGAAAGGGTCGTCCTCTTTACCCGAGGCAGGATCTCTGCGCCGGATTGTGGGCCACCCAGCAGGGTCTTGGCTCCGAGCGCGCTGCGTGTTGTGCTCTACTCGGTGGCAGGCAGGGTTGTCGGTCCCAACACATCAGGAAAGTCCTAGTGACGTAGGCAGGGTCTCTGGAGAGGCTGCCGGACTTTAAGCTCTCCGCCCTAAGGGTTCAAAGTTCCCTCCAAATTCATACTGGTCTTTGGGGAGGTTCCCCGGCCCCGACTCCTGCGCTCCCCGCGGGCTTCCCCGGCTGAACGCGCGTCTCTGAAGACTTGGTTAACGCTAGGGCGCCTGGGGTTCTAGGGTCTGGGGCCTTCCAGGCAGCCTCTCCGACCCAGCCCTCCCCTCGGCCCCGACGCTGGCCCGTAGCTCTGTGTCCCTAGAGCTCTGTAGAAAGCGGTGCAGCCCGGGGCTGCTGGGGCTGGCGCCATGCTTTGCCAACACCCAGAGACCGTGGCAGTGGTCCGGGAAGAGGAGGTGTAGAGCGCAGAGGCGTCAGTCAGTGCCTCTCAGCTGCGCCTTTCCCCCCAGTCCCCGGCAGAATAGGGGAGAGAGTGGGACAAGTGTCCCCTCGCATTTGTAGGACTTTTGGAGCAAGGGTCCGCTATTAAAGGACTCCCCAGTGTCGCTGCTTACATCCCAATGCGAGCCCAACAACTTGGGAGCTCAGCGACCTTCCCACTGTTACAGAGGCATCCCTTCCAGAGCAGCGTTCCTGCTGTGGGATTGCAAAGGTCTCGGGAGTCCTCCTGCCCTGCTTCCCGCCGCCGCAGCCCGGAGCTAAGTTCCTGGTGCCTCGCCGGGTTCGTAGGGTCAATTCCAGGACCTGCGGCCACTGCGCACCCTGCCTGCAGGGGCAACGGGCCCGGCAAGAGACCCCCGACTGGGCCGTCAGGATTCTTTGGGGGGTGTTACTTGAAGTTTTGACTGCCCCGCAACTCGTCCTCGCACCGCAAGCAGGGTCTTGCCACAGAAAGTAAGACCCGGGGACCTAGACTAACAAACTGCTTCCCTGCCCCCCAACTCTTTTCTAACCTGCAGAAACAATAAGTATCAGTCGCCGGGATCCCTCCAGCCTCTGTTTCGTCTCCTGCCCCGCACCCCTGGGAAAGGTTTTCTGCATAGAGGAGGGGCGGGTGGGCGCAGCCACCACACAGCGCGGGGCTAGCCTGAGGTCCGAGGGTGGGTGGCGCTCCCTCATTTTCTTCTCGCTACCCCCAATCCACTCTGCGCCCCTTCTGCGGGAGATGGGATCTCCCCGCGCCCAAGTGCGGCGAGCGCCCGCAGCGCGGACTCCCAGAACTTGGCTTTCTTTCAAGAAAAAGGGAGAGGCTGAGTTCTTGAGAGAGGATATGCGAGTGTCTCTGTGTGTGCTTGGGGGACAATGTGTACCCCTGTGTATATAAAACGTGCATGTTTCCGAAAGCAGAAACTCGCTGGGTTGCCTTTGGGTCTGGGTGAAGTGGATTTGGGTTGGTGCACGCGCTCCTTGGAAGCAGCTGGTGAGGGCGGGTGTGTTGCAGCGAGTGCTGGCTGTCTACAGGCGTGTCCGTTTGTGAAAGAGAAAAACAGAGCGTGTGGCTGGGGTGCAGGTATGTGAGTAGACTCAGCAAACAAGTGCTTCAGGGAAGAGGGACAGGGGTATAGGGAGAGAAATCTAGAGAACCCGCATAGGCTGTCCCAGCCCAGCAGCTTGGCAAACAGAAGCCAGAGGCGCCAGGCAGCTGTGTAAACCAACCGCGGCGCTGCAGTGAAGGGTCCCGGGTTAGGATGGGGGGCGTTGAAGCCTCAGTCAAGGGTTCGGGGTAAAAGGGGGATTCCTAGCCCTCTGTGCAGGCAGTGCCTGCTTAGCTACCCCCCCACCCACCCACCAGTCCTCTCTTCCAGTCCTACACATCCCCCGGGAGAGAGGTGAAGGAGGCTTGGCTGCCAGACTGGAAGCAAGACAACTTTTTTTAGGTGGCCAAGGACGTCAGGTGGAGGGGGAGGGGAGGGAGAGGAGGATATTCCAGGAGTACCCCAGGTGGTCCAAAGAGATAAATCTTTCAAGGTCCCTCTCCCCAACCATCCACCTCCCCCACAGTGGGCTGCTTCAGCTGAGGTCCCTTTAGAACTCAGGACTGCTGTTTAACCTCCGGGGGTTCAGGTGGCCGAGCTGGGTCTGCGCTGGAGGAGCAGGAGGGGGTGCGAGGCCAGAGTTCAAGCACCAAGAAAGTGAGAGATGTTCTGGTCCTCTGTTGGTGATGCCTAAATCTCTGAATTGCCCCCACTTTCCAGACGTCGAAGGCTTTCCATCTTCTCCCTCTCCAAGCAGTGATCTCATTGCAAATGACAGTCTGAGAGGATGGTTCCCTCCCTAGAGGACCGATGCAGGAGCGGGAGCAATGACGCAATCGGAGCTGGTAGGTCCTGGACACTTTGGATTGGCCGCGCGGACTCGTGGGGAGCCCCCCTTCCACTATCACTGGCATAAGAGTCCAGAGCTTCTCTGGGAAGACGCCCACAGCAGGCGTTGTGTCCATCAGGGGGACCGGCTGCTCACGCTCTCCTGAAACTCGCGTCACTAGGTGAGGAACCTCCTACTCCTGCTAGGATTACTTATTCAGTTTGCTCCATCTGCTTGCCTGTCTTTCTTTTGCTTCTTACGGCCATCTCGGCCCATCTACAGCCAGGTGCAGCTAGCTATCCGTCCTGCTCTGGGGAAGGAGGGAGGATGGGATGGTCACTGCATTTTCTTCTAACTAGCACGAGTCCAACCTCAGTATTCCCAGGGCTTCTCCTGGATGCTGGACTTTCTGCAAACTCGGTTAGGCAGGTCTACCGCCTCTGCGTGTGTGGATCCTGCCAGAGTACGGTCTGGCAGTAGCCTGCAGAGGTGTGCATCCTCAGGGATCACACTTGGTCCCCAGAATGGTGGAGCCCTGAGCCTTCCACCAAGGTGCCTCCAGCCTGCAAGTGTCCCTGGGCCATTGGGTGCAGTCAGCCAACCTGGACAGTGGGCTCACCTCGGGGTGCTGGCTCCCAGCACTTGCTGCTAAACTGAGCTCCAGCAAAAGCAGACTGTGGTGGCAGAGTTCAGAGACACCAGTAATTGGCACGTTAAAGAATTCCCCAAATCTAAACCCATAGATTGACAGATTAGCACTCCCTTCCAATTTACCCTTCCTGCTCTCCTCCCCTCCCAGTTAGCAGTGGGAAGTTTAGCCAAGGGGAAGGTGGTCCTCGATTTCTCAGTCCCCGAGAAGACAGGCGCAATGGGAGAGCAAATACACACCTGAGTTTGGTCTGGGACTTTTCTGTGGTTTCCGCATAGGGCAAAAGTTGTGGGGTTGTGTGCTTGTTCACAGGTGACTTTTCCCTGACTTTTCACGCAACAAAACCAGATTCCCCACCTTCTCCCCAGGACACTTGTTTCTGCTCTGCCAAGCCATTCACTACAATGTATCTTTTGAGATTTACAGCACCCAGCGGGCAGAATGAAAGGAACAGCAGCATGGGGACGTGCTGTGAGGTTACAAGGCTATTGTGGCTGAGGGGGTACTGGAAAATAGGTCTGTAGGCTCCCTACCGTGCTCCGTCTTTGTGCAGTGGCTTACGGTCACTCTCTCTTGCAGAGAGGCGTCATGGGCTTTGGGAAGTCCTCCCCCTTCCTGGCTCTCAGCATCTGGGTCCTGTGCCAGGCGTGCAGCTTCCAGGCAACACCACTCAGGTGAGAGAGTAGAGCCACCAGAGCACTCCTCTTCCACTGCCCCTGGGACCAGGCTGTTTTGTGCCTCTGAAGTCACAGCAGAGAGGTTCCCCATAAATTTACACCCTCAGGTGGCCACTGGCCTCCAGCGCACATCACAGGGGCAGTCACAGAGGCCAGGAGTCAGGCTGCTTGTCCTGGGAAGGAGGCAGGCAGGAGCTCAGAGCCTATATTGAGTTTGCTTCCCCTCTGGTCCCAGGTGGGCTTTGGACAGCCTCCCAGACCCGGCTGCCCTCAGTGAGAAGGAAGGACGTCTCCTGCTGGCTGCCCTGCTGAAGGCCTATGTGCAGAGGAAGACCAATGAGCTGGAGCAAGAGCAGGAGCAGGAGACAGAAGGCTCCAGGTAATACTCTCCACCCAATGCTGGCATTTTCCAGGAGGACATATCCCAGAAAGGTAGGAAAAACGAGATCTGGCTAGGAGTCCAGCAGGTTGTAACAATGGCCCTAGAGACCAGTCATTCTCCAGTTCTATGGAAGACAGAGATCCAGTTGAGTGTGGTTAAAAACATTAAAAACGCTGACTCCTGATAGCTGTGAGGAGGTGTGGAATTACTTACTCTGGGAATTGTTCTGGCTGTACTGAGAACTCCTAGCATTCGATGAATTACGACTGGTAAGTGTGAAGCCAGGGCTCAGGATGTTTTAAAAATTTAACCTGGTGTGTGTTGTTTTTTCACACCTGCAAGCAGCCTTCATTGCACATTTTCGAGATGAAACCAAAGGCCTTACAGAGGGTGGGGGCAGGTAGAGCAGTATCTGAGGTAGGTTTGGGGTCTTTAGATATGTAGGGTCTGTGGAGATTGCATGTTGTCATGGAGCCAGACACCCTTCCCCAGCATCACCTCCCTGTGCATCTTGAGCTTGGAGCACATACTAGCCCCTGGCTTGGCTGCAGCACTGCCTGGGCAGAAGCACATGTTGACCTGTATTGACTCTGAGAACCTCTCTGCAGAGCATGAAGGATGGAACAGCATGTAGAATGCCTAAAAAGGTCACCCCTTCCCCACCTAAACCCATCCCTATGCTTCTCTAGCTCAGCGAATCTGAGTTCTCCTAATGGAGGCTGTGTGAACTGCCCTCCTGCTTGCCCCTCCTACCTCTGCTCCAAGTGCCCCTCCCTGATCTAACCTTCTGCATGACTGCACACGGGGCTGACCCAGTGCATGGTGCTGTCTGGCATGTCTTTTCTCTGCAGCCTGGATGGCTCCAGAACTAAGCGGTGCAGTAATCTGAGTACCTGTGTGCTGGGCACATACTCGAAGGACCTGAACAACTTTCATACGTTCTCTGGCATCGGCTTCGGGGCTGACACGCCTGGCAAGAAAAGGGACATGGGCAGCAGCTTGGAGGGGGGACCACTACCCCCACTTTAGGGTGCCCCAGGATGCCAATTGAACTCCTCCCCTTCCTTCCTGATTTTTTTTTCTTGCTCCCACTGATGAACTTGATGCATGCAGATTTTACTCTGATTGCTCTTCAAGCTGGTATTGGAAGCTTTATTGATGACAGAGAATGGCAGGAATCTCAGGATGGAAGGAAAGAGAGCAGGACTCAAAGACCAGGTTGGAGATAAGAGACAGTGAGGGAAACTTGTTGAGATCTCAGAGAATTTCATGGTAGAGCCCTCTGATTCCTGCTTCGTCTTTCATGCCTCATCATTGCTAAATAAACCTATTCCCTAAAAAGGATTTGTGCTGTGGTGGTCATTACACTGGTCCCTGCCCAAGGCTTGAGAGGGCCAAGGGCCTGTGCTTAAAAGCAGTCTTAGCCTGTGGGAAGCCGGATACAGGGCTTGGTGAGCAGTCCTGGTGAATCAGCTCCAGCATCAAGAACAAGTGTGCTGAGCAGGTAAGCACTTCTGGGGGAGGATGCTGCAAACCTTGTTCTCTGAGACCTTTCCAGGTAAGGCTTTGGGTGATTTTTGTTTTCTCAAAGAAAGTGATTTTTAGGGTGTTTGTGGCTGGGATATGGCCGCAGTATGCTCCTTGTCTGTTTTGGACTGGGCTGGACCTTTGCTGGCCACAGCTTCATAGTCCCAAAGGGACTGTATGTATGGGGCAATAAGGGCAGGGTTTCAACACGTGCCCCTTGGCTTTGAACTGGGTTTTTTCATGAAGGTCTTTGGGCAGGGCTCCTAGCAAATGCTGCCAGGCCATTTCCCTTAACAGCTTTGATAATTGCATTTAGGAGAAACACTGATTCTTAAGTGGTGTGTCAAAGAGCTGCAGTTCTCTTTATGAAGGTCCCATGGGGCAGGCTCCTGCTTCCCCCTTGCCAAGCCTCTCACTGACAGGCCTTCTCTTCTTTCTCCACCCTGTAAATCAGCATCGCCGCCCAGAAGAGATCCTGCAACACTGCCACCTGTGTGACCCATCGGCTGGCAGGCTTGCTGAGCAGATCCGGGGGCGTGGTGAAGAACAACTTCGTGCCCACCGATGTGGGTTCGGAAGCCTTTGGCCGTCGCCGCAGGGACCTTCAGGCCTGAGCAGCTAACTGACTCCAGAAAGTAGGTGACTGCTCTTGTACAATTGGATGGGAGGGGAAGGGATTTGGAGGTTACAATCCACACTTTGAAACCCACTAGTCCTGGTTGATGTGCAGGTCCTTTCCCTCCAATTACATTCTTCATCCAAAGGTAGTGAACCCCTTCTACAACTGAGCTTAAAATCAGAGCACTAGGACAGACTGCAGGTATCCAGTGCCATTTTTCTGAGAAGATATATGAAAAAAAAAATGCTTTCTGGATTCAGAAAGGGTGGGCCCTATAGCATAGCCAGGGCCACTCATCATTAATGAACACAGGTTCAGAAGGCAATGGACCCCTGACTGGTTCATAGATTCAGACCAGAGGGCTGTAATCATCATACTACTGCTAACATTAATAGTGACCATTGAATTGTTTTTATCATTTGCCTTATAAACCTGCTTACTTCTCATCCATAATCTGTCAATGCTGTTTAAAGAAGTAATTCTCTAAGTTTGTGTTCTTTTCAGTAATAATTGTGATTATTCCCTTCTTGTCCTTATTATACTGTTTCTATTTCTTCTTCTCCTTCTCCTCCTTTTAAATTTTATTTTCCACCCCAGGGTACCATGAAGCTGAACTCACCACTTCTATTAATTTCTGTTGACAACTCTGGTGAGAAGGCCGCATGGAAGATATATATGTTTGCATCCTAATAGATACTGAAAAAAAAAGCACCTTTGTCACTCAACAGGAATGAAACTGAATGCAAAATAAGCTAATTCCATATGTTGTGCATCCTTTTTATATTTGATTCTATATGCAGTAAATGTGATGGCAACTCTCATTGGCTTATGTGGTAGCAAACTGACTCTTTGAGAGCTGTCCTATCGGTCAAGGCAGATCTGCCAGAGCTTAGGAGGGGCATTGAATCCCTGCCTCTGTGGCCTCTGGGGACACATGGTAATGCAGATGCTATGCTTTATTGTTTAAGAACATGATTGTATGATTTGTGTAAGGAAATGTGAATATTGTGCCATTTGTGAACTTCATCAAGATTAAAAACTTATTTTGGATACATGTGTTTCAAGACCCTGGTGGTTCACTTCAACTTGTTTTCCTATGTGATAATAATAACAATAAGAGTTGACATTTTTTGAGTCTTACTATGGGCCACATGATGTTCTAAGACAGTACTTTATACCTGTTAATTCATTTAATCTTCATGACGACTCAATTCATTTAATCTTCATGACGACTCCATGGAGTCTATACCATTATTATTTCCACTTCACATCTGAGGAAACAGAGGCGTGGAGAAGTGAGTCCAAGGTCACACAGACAGTGGTGAACTCAGGTGTTAGTTTCCAGAGCTTACGGTTGGATCACTGCACTGTATACTTCTCAACAATGGCTCCTGATGTTTTCCGGAGACGTGGGAGCCATTTTCTGATCCAGCTGCCTCACATGGTAAATCCTCAGATTTTGAAGACAAATGGAACATTTTATACAAACAACCTGGTCCTTATATAATAAAATGAATCCCTTCTTTCTATTACTTAGTGCTATAGATTTGAATGCTTGTGTGTTCCCCCTAGTTTTTATGTTGAAACCTAACACCCAAATTGATGGTGTTAGGAGGGGGGAACTTTGGGAGGTGATTAGGTCATAAGGGTGGTCCCCTCATGAATGAGATTAGAGCCCTTACAAATGGGGCGGGAGAGAATTCCCTCACCCCTTCCTCCGGGTCAGGCTACACTGAGAAGACTGCTGTGAATGAGGATGTAGGCCCCCCACCAGATGCTGAATCTGCTGGTGCCTTGATCTTGGACTTCCAGCCTCTAGAACTGTACACCATTTATGCACCATCTATTAACTTCCCCCATATATCATTACATAAATATATCCATAAATATTTTCCCATAAATGGGAAGTACTCTTCAAACGTAATCACAATCTCATTTAACAGTTGAAGTAAATTAACAGTTATTTCTTAATTCTTTACTATCTCACATTCAGCCATAGTTCAGATTCCTCAAATTATTTTATATATTTTTTTGCATGTACATACATATATATACATACATGCACATATACATAGGGCTCAAATTATGTCTTCACATTAGATTGATATGTTTTAAGGCCCTTCTAATCTAGAGGTTCCTTCTCCATTGTCTTTGTCCTCTTGCAATTTATTTTAAGTTAGAGAAACTAGGTTATTAGTCCAATAGAATAGTCCATTCTGAATTTTGATGACCACATCCTTGTGGTGAAGTTTGAAATGTCCCTTGACCTTTCTGTACTTCTCGTGAATCAGAGTGAGTGGGGGGAGGAGAAGTAAAGCGGAGGACAGGTCATGTAGAACTGCAGCGCATAGGAAAGACTCTGGCTCTGTATTAGTCGATTTCCAGTCAGTAAAACAGAAACCACATCAGTAATTTTAACAGAAAGAGTAATAGAAGAAACTGACTAAGCACGTAGTAAGGTCCTGAAGAGACAAGAGTTAGTGCAGAGATAGAAAGTAAAGGAAGCAGTGATCACCCCCAAGGCTAAGGGAACAGAAAGTGGGGTAAGTAGGATCTAGAAGTTTGGAGGATTCTCAGACCACTGAGAAGGGAGGTCAGCTGATGCTGGCATCTTTGAGAGGTGCCATAAGACTGTTCTAGGAGTGTGGAAAAACCAAACAAACTTGGAAACTTCTACCAAGTTCCCTGCCAGAGTGAACTGTGCGGATGACCCTGACAGAGGCAGCAATCAAAACAGGCAGAAGCAAGTTTCCTCCTCTTCATGCTTTCTTGTCTCCTTTTAGGGCCCCCAGTTGGCAGAACCTAATGGAGACCCACCTGACAAAGGAAAACGTGGTTTGAAGAGTCCCAGCTCCGGTATCACTTTCTAAACATATTTTAAATTTGCTAGAGAAAAGTCAATTCTTTTGGGGTGTAGTTCTGTGATTTTTTTTGACAAATTTGACATTAAGTCATATAATCACCACCACAATTAAGGTACAAAACAGTTTTGTTCCTCCTCAAAAGCCCCCCCTCGCTTCTCCTTTGCCATCAATGGCTCCCCCAACCCTCAATCCCAGGTAACAACTGTTATGTCCTGTGTTCTCACAGTTTTTAAAAATAGTTATCTCTCAAAATTGAGAATATAATGGGCATCTAACACTGTATTAGTTTCAGGTGTATGACATAATGATTTGATGTATGTATATACTGCAAAAATGTTCTCCCCCCTCTAAGTTTGATTACCATCCTTTGCCACCTATAAATTTTTTCTTGTGATGAGAAGTTTTAAGATATACTCTCTTAACAACTTAAAATATATAATACAGTGTTGTTAGCTAGTCACATGCTGTACATTATATCCCAAGGACTGGTTTATAACCTATAACTGGGAGTTTGTACCTATTGACCTCCTTCACCTATTTTGCCCACCCCCACCCCCTGCCTCTTGGAACCATCAATCTGTTCTCCGTTTTTATGAATTAGTTTTTTTTAGATTCCACTTATAAGTGATATCATATGGTATTTGTGTTTCTCTGTGTGACTTATTTCACTTAGCATAATACCCTCAAGGTCCATCCATATTGTCAGAAACGGCAAGATTTCCTTCTTTTTCATGGTGAATAATATTCTATATTATATCATCTATCTATCTATCATCTATCTATCATCTAATGTCTATCTATATCTATCTATCATCTATCTATCTATCTATGTATCATCTATCTATCTATCTATCTATCTATGTATCATCTATCTATCTATCTATCTATCTATCTATGTATCATCTATCTATCTATCTCTATCATATTTTCTTTATCTATTCATCTATGGACACTTAGGTTGTTGCCATGTTTTGGCTATTGTAAATAATGCTGCACTGAGTGTGGGGGTGCAGATATATTTTTGAGATAGTCAAAGATAAGTTGTCATATTTTGGAGGTCTATTTCTGGCTCTTTATTTTGCTCTATTGCTATCCGTCTATTCTTTTAATAATACCACACTGCCTTTATTACAGTAGCTTCATAGTAAGTCTTGAAATTGAGTAATGTCAGCCCTCTAACTTTGTTTTTCTCTTTCAAGGTTGTGTTGGTTATTTTAGGTTTTTTGTCTCTCCATATAAACTTGAGGATCAGTATATTGATATCTATGAAATATCTTAATAGAATTTTGATTGGGATTGCATTAAATTAATAAATTTGGGGAGAACTTACATCTTGACAATATTGAGTCATGAACATGAAATATCTCTCCATTTATTTAGTTCGTATTTGATTTCTGCCATCAGAGTTTTGTAGTTTTCCTCATATAGATCATGTACGTATTTTGTTATACTTACACCTAAGTATTTCATTTTGGGGGATACTAATGTAAACAATATTGTGTTTTTAATTTCAAATTCCATTTGTTTATTGTTGGTATACAGAAAGGCCATTGTATATTAACCTTGTGTCCTGCAGCCTTGCTATAATCGTTTATCACTTTGAGGAATTTTTCGGTGATTCAGATTTTCTACAAAGATAGTCATGTCATCTGTGAACAAAGACAGTTTATGTCTTCTTTCCTGATCTATACACCTTTTACTTCCTCTTACTTTATTGCACTAGCAGAGATTTCCAGCACAATGTTGAAAAGAGATTGTGAGAGGAGACATCCTTGCTTTTCTGTACTTGGTCTTAGTGGGACTGCTTCAAGTTTTTTCACGGGCAAGTTTCAAGTATGCTGTTAGCTCTAGGACTTCTCAGATAGTTTATCAAATGGAGAATGTTACCTTCTATTTCTCTAGTTTACTGAGAGTTTTTATCACGAATGGGTGTTGAATTTCATCAGATGCTTTTTCTGCATCTATTGAAATGATCATGTAGTTTTTCTTTCTTACTCTTTTGATGTGGATTACATTAATTGATTTTCAAATGTTGAATCATCGTTGCATAGCTGGAATAAATTCCACTTGGTGTATAATTTTCTTTTCTTGTAACATCGTTGTTTAGTTTTAGTATTAGAGTAATGTTGGCCTCATAGAATGAGTTGGGTGTTCCATCTCCTATCCTCTGTAGGGATTGTAGAGATTTGGTATATTTCTTCCTTAATGATTGGTCGACTTTGCCAGTGAACTCACCTAGGTCTGGTTTTCTGTTCTGGAAGGTTGTTAGTGATTCAATTTCTTTAACACATATGGTCCATTCAGATTCTCTATTTCTTGTGTGAGTTTTGGCAAGTTGTGTCTTTCAAGAAATTGGTCCATTTCATATTTTCTATTGATTTCCTGTTTTCAAGTTATTGATTTATGGTCTAATTCATACTATTTCTATTCTTCTACTTATTTTGGATTTAATTTGTTTATCTTTCTGTAGTTTCCTAAGGAAGCAACTTAGGTTATTGATTTTAGAGCTTTCTTCTTTATTAATATTTGTATTCAATGTTATAAATTTCCCTCTAAGTACTGCCTTCACTGCAGGCCACAGATTTTGATAAGTTTTCATTTTCACTTAGTTCACAATATTTAAAAATTCTCTTGCAATTTTTTCTTTGACCCATTGGTTATTTAGAAGTATGCTGTTTAATCTCTACATAGTTTGGATTTTCTAATTATCTTTCTGCTGTTGATTCTTAGTTTAATTCCATTGTGGTGTAAGAGCAGACATTGTATGATTCCTCTTTTTTTAAATTCATTAAGCTGTGTCATGTGGCCCAAAATATTGTCAGTAATATCCAGTTGAGTAATGATATTGTTGAGTTCAGTCTTTACTGCTTTTCTGCTTGTTGGATCTGTCCGTTTCTAATGGAGTGGTGTTGAACTCTCCAATTATGATAGTGGGTCCATTTATTTTCTTACCTTTGAAGTCTGCTCTGTTTGAAATTAATAAAGCTACTTCTGCTTTCTTTTGAGTAGTGTTAGCATGGTGTACTTTATTTTACTTATTTACTTTTTTTCTTGAGGTATAGTTGTCATACAACATTTACTAGTTTCAGGTCTGTAACATAATGATTCAGTATTTTTGTATATATTGCAAAATGATCAGCACAATAAGTCTAGTTGAACATCTGCCACCATACAGTTA